AAATAATCACGTAGATTGTCTTTAGGGGTTAATAATAGAAATAAATAAAAAAAGAGATAACCATGAATACACTTTAAAAAAAATTTATACAATTTTTTTAAATAAAAATTATATGAAATTTTAGAATATTAATGTATTATTTTTTTATCTTATTTTTCAAATTAGAAACAATAAACCTAACAGCTTTCGTTTTCCGTCCAACATGTAATAAAAAATAAATTCTTATGTATTATTTTTACAATTTTTTTTTTTTTTAATATATTATAGAGGATAGAAATAACAACTTACAATACGACAGTACATTTAATTTAATTTTCTTTAAAATGTCACTAACACTTCTTGCATTCTAAGCACATTGTATAAAATGATTACAAAATTGTAATCCTCAAATTTAGTTATAGGTGTTTCAAAGCTCCCTTAACAATTTCCATTTAACTTTAAGACGAGTAAAAGACAAAAACTTTCAATAAACAGTGTTAAAGAATAATAAATTAAATGATAGTAAACTCACAATTTCGCCTTGCCGACTTAATTTAGTTTATATTCTGATCACGCATGACGCTATAACTTTGTACAGTTAATGAAAACTATAGAAAAGACAAATTTAAATTAACGACAGACTTATTTTAATTTTCACCAGAAGAAGTTTATATGTGAGTAATATTGTGAAGTGTAATATTATCAAGATAAATCAGTTACGAAAAAAATTTTACAATGAATAAGTGGATACGAAGATAAATGTGTTGAGAGTAAGATTATTAATATATAATGGTTAATACATTAATACTTTATTGAATTTAACTACTGTTGTACATTTATTCTGTACTGCCCTCTACAAAAAATGGTAATATACAAAACTGTTTGTCAACAAATTTTATTAAAAAATGTATTGTAGTTATTATTGCTCGAGAAATTTGATAGCGTAAAGTTTGATTAAGATCTAAGAAATTAACATTAAAAATCTACAGTATATGAATGAAATTTTACCTTTGTCTTTATTTTATGACCAAACAAAAACTTGCATTATCTGTCATAAAAGAAATATAATGTTGGTAATGTAATAAGTTTTCCTTTACAATTATATTCAATGATGTGAATGTACATGAGAGTAGGTATCTACTCTTAAGCGATCACAGTTTCAAGCCTTTCAACACTCGGGCAAATAATAGTGTCATACATTATTGCTTAAAACTTAGTTAAAGGTGGTATGTAGTGAAACGCAACTATTCACAACAAAAGGTTATACAAGTGCATCAAGCATGAAAACTTGAGGTATGTTATGTGTTATTTAAGGTTAAAAGTGATGTATTGTTGCCTTTTCAACGCCCACTAGACTCAAACTTTTACCTAATTTATGAATTCTGATTACTTTTTTTATGAATGATTTTTAAATACCTTAAGAAATTGATATGTACAGATAAATTATTTATCGGACGGTAAATAATAATTTAAAAAAGAAATTTTACTTTGCTTAGTAGTATTTATTTCTCAATTTAAAAGTGGTTAGATATTTTTTAGGTTCATCCATTATCCTTTATAAGGATACCATTTTTATATTTTTTTAATAGTAATATACATATTTTACTAGCTTAAACGTTAGAAAATGTGGTCTAATTAAGAAAATGACTGGTCGATAATAACTTTTAAAATGTTATTTTAGGAAATTTGAACATTTTTATACCATAGTCCATGGAGCGTGTAGAATGACTTGTAAAGATAAAAATAATATAACCCGCGTCTCATCTTCAGTGTATATCTTCAAGTGTAAATAGCTCTTGAAGTACTTGTCCAAAAGTTTTATTGGCTAATTATATATATATATATTAGGGTGGTTCTTAAAATGTATGTTGTGAAATTAAAAAATTATACAATCTCAATTAGTTGAAATACTTATAAAAAAGAGGTCCGTAAAGTTTCAGGTGAATTGTAAAAGATTAACCCATGCCATAAAAGGCGTCAAGTGTAAAATAATAATTTAAACAATTTGTATTTTAAACAGTTTTTTTATAAATTTATTACTTACGAAGAAAACGCTAATATAATTTTTTTTTTTTTATTAAAAACAAAATATAAGAAAATGCATTGTTAGTAGTATAGCAAGAAAAATAAAAAATAGAACCTGTAATATTATTATTTATTTGATTAAATCTACTAGGTCACTTCAAACAAATAAATAAAAAAATTAATCATTAAACTAATTATCAAAAATTATTTATTTTTTTGAAATACAGGTAATTCATTATCTTAAAGTAAATATTGTTTTTGATTTTTATCATATGTCATTTTCGTATGAAACTCCTCCATTATATTTTTACAACTCTTTTAACTATATTATTTACAACATTAATACCATTAATAAAGATTGTTGATGCTTTGAATTTTTCATGAGTACTCCAAAATAATGAATCAATGGTGAAAAAATTTGTGTCTTCATTAAAATATTAAAAAAATGGCATTGAATTTTCGCAAATGAAATTTTCAAAATTTGTATTTAATATTCCAGTAGTTTCTTTTATATTCAATAAATATCTATTTGATATTTGATATATCTGAATTCTAGCTATCATTTTTTTTTAGTTTCAAATGGAACGTGTGAGTCAAAAATAGATTCTATAAATGGCCATTAATTTTTTTAATCATGACTTTTAATATATTTTTATCTATTGACTGATATTTAATTAAGTCTATAATAAAATTGATCACTTGTGGCTAATTAATTAAGTAAAATTAAAACTATATTAAAAATATTATTAATTTAAAAAACTAAAAAATATTAAAAATATTAAACTTAAAACCACAAAAAATTAATGAAAATACGTAAAATACGTATTTCTGAAACAATGTTACCATTATCAACGCTAAACACATACTGACTACACATAGTAGCGTTTTTAATTTTACTTATTTAATTAATTCTTTTAAAAAATTTAAATCTTAGTATGATGCCTGGAAATTAAGCAGTGCATAAAACTAAGCTTTATATACTATTATTATTTTACTATGTGACATCATTTTTTTGATTTTACTTTACTGATAAAAATGCAAATACTAACAATAGATATTTTTTCTTCTTGACCTAAAAAAGTTGATTTTGGAATAGAAATATGTTTAAACAATATGAAGCTCTTGCCATCTATCTAATATGATGGATAGCTCCTGGGAATCAGAATTTCATTGAATTTTGTTTTTTACAATGTCGATCATTCATTATACCTGGTTTAAATTTGTTGGTTTCCATGTTTTCTTAACATTTTTGAAACTGTTTTAATATTAGTAAATAGAAACCAAATGCTGTATACAATTAAGATTCAAATTCGCTTTTGACTACTAATTTATAGATGTGATGTCAAAATGTTAAATGTAAAATATATTTCAGCAAAAACTTGAATATTTTCTTTTATACACCAATAATGAGTACATAGAAAATAACATCAGCCTGGTGAACTCTTATTCCTGTATCAATTTCTGGAACTCCTAATTAATTGACTCTTACTATTACATGAAGCAATACTGGGAAGTCTATCGTCATTTTATGTTCTATTTGCGAAGATAAAAGCTTATCAGCCTAATGGTAAGCTTACCATTATCATATTTGATTATTAAGTTATAATTTTTAAATAATATCCAACTTAATAACTGACTAATTCGTCATAATTTTTTCGTACATATTTAACCTCTCTCCACTCTTTTTGACTTAAAATTTATAAAAACTGTGTATTGCAATCGTATTGAATAAAGGACAACAGCTTCAATTATGTTAAATAAATAAATCATTGATTTTATAGCAAAGTTTTTGCAAATTTTTCTATTCATCATAATATATTTGAAGTTTTTTATTGTTGAGCACTGATTGTAATATGCACCATGAAATACTCACCTCTTTTATAGCAAATTTAGAGCTATTCAGTATGTTTAATTCAACATGATGCGTATTAAAAAAAATAGTGATAGTGCTTGTCTTATTGACAATAATTTACTACCGTTAATTTAGGGTGATGCATAACCATTCAAAAATAAAATATAAATTCAAACTCTAAAATATATATGATCTAAAAATGAAAATAAAAGTATGAGTACAATAACATGAAAAGTAGGTAATTTTAACGAATATTAGTAATGAGTTTTGATAAACATTTTGTCACGTCTTATAAGATATTTTTGTAATAAATTTATACAATTAGGCAGTTTGTTAAAATCTAAATTAAACAATGTAATTATGATAAATTACACAAATTACTACAAATTTCAAAACCTTCACTAACATTTATTTTATTTTGTAAGTTATTATTTAAAAAAAAAAAAAAATTATATTAGTATTTACTTCATAAATAATAAATTTATGTAAAAATTCTCTATAATACAATTTGTGTAAAATATTTTCTTGGATATTTTTTGTTCAGGCAATATTTTTGTGAATCTATTATTTAATGCACTATAATAATAAAAAAAACCCGAAAAACATTCAATTACTCAAAATTATTGATGTTTTAAACTTTAGGTCTTTAGTGAAACGAGTTTATCTTTTCCGATTCAACTGAATCTTTGCGTACCATAATTTTATAAGTATTCTAACTAATTTAGGTTGTTTAATTTCAAAACAGTCTAATTTTTTTAATTATCTCTATCCACTAATTGTATTCAATTTAATAAATAATTATTATTAGATATGTAATAGTAAAAATTTTAAATTGTTTTCTCGTATTTTTAATACATTAGAAAAATATTGTTTTTTTTTCATTTTTCTGTCACTAATGCAAATTTTATTTTATCAGAGATGAAGGTTAGATACATTCATTATTCATATTTTTGTTTTGAGTGTTTTTTTCTTTAGCCATAAAATAATATAACTCACATTCTATTGATCGATGTTGATACTATAATACGTATGTATTTAAGTAAACACAAGTGTTGCTAACAAAATATTCTAAGATATTACAATGTATATCGATTACTATAATATATAAATTAAATACACTATTTTCTTCCTAACGTGTAAGAATTTTTATTTTTGTTATAAATCGGGGTAATCAAAAACAAAATTTATTGAAAAATTGTGTATGAATGACAATTTTTTTGTTGGTAAGTTTAAATGCATTAACGGTAGTAGTAGGATAGATATTTTACCAGACAAATACTGCTATTTTTTTTAATTTATCTCCTTCAATTATGTTTACTGTATATGATAAAGATTTTTTTTAAGTTAAAAATAAATGTTGAACTCTAAATTAAAATCGTTTTTAGAAATAAATAGTAATAAATCATTATAAAAATTAAGAATATAAATACACTATTGTAGATCATTTCGTAATTTAAAAACGTGATAATAACAAAGAAAATAAATTTGATTAATTAAAAAATAGTGACTTACTAAATTATTTTTATTATTTTGTTAAAGCGAATACAGAATGAATAAATTGTTTTAGATTATTTTCGTGTAATAATGAAGAGTATCTTTTTTCTTAAAGTCCTCTATACTATATGTTTTTAATGTCAGGAAAAAATTGTGAGTACATTATATTGCACCGTTGGTAAAAAGGCAAACACAATTTGAAGTGGAAAAGCCAGGAAAACGTGTCCGTATACAAATAACAGATTACATTGTAAGTTACAGATATACTAAAATGTTCTCTATGCTCTAGACTGCTACAACTTAATACATAGTGAATGCGATTGTGTACTAGATGACAAAAAAAACTATTGTTTTTATTTGAATCCATTTTTGTTCCATTGTATAATTTATTTATTTAAGTAAAATTTAAGTCACAACTTAAATTGAATAACAATCATAAAAATGTTTTTTATATATATATATATAAAATATACATACACTATAACGGAAATATTTTTTTATAAATTCTATAAAGTGCCATTCGTTTTATTTTCAATTTGGCTAAATAAATTTAAAATTTATATTCTAAAATAACTAATTTCACGATTAAAATTATTTCCCTTTTTTTTTTAATATAACAACCATTGAATTAATTTTAATAAAGCAATAAAAATTTTAACAGATACAATCTTAATATGCTGTATTACATGTAAACTATCGTTGACGTGACTGGAAAACTATTTAAATTAAATAATTTTGAAGGAAATAATATTAATAAAAATTTGAAATTTTGTCAGCACAATTTTATTTTAAATATGAACATAATTATTCATTTTATTTAGTTAAGCTTAAATACTCTATCAACTTTTTAAAGATAATAAAACGCTTGAGAAAAGAATATTCTAACAAACTAATTTTTCTTTAATAGTAAATAAAACGTGCTTAAAATATTGTACTTTTAATAGATTTTTATTTAAAATAGCATGTTATTCTCAGAATTTTAAAAATAAAATTAAGATTTATACTTTCTTAAAAAGTTGCTATAAATTCTTTAAAAAATTTCTAAATTACATGTTTCGTACATTTAAGTTATTTTTATTCTTACATTGTATCGTAAATTCAATAAGAAATAATTTTTATCAATAAAATGTTTTAAAATTATTAATTGTTAAAATTTGAATAACTGTAAGTATGTGACTCTTGTGACAGATGATTATGCATAAGGTTAAAAAGTGTTACTTTTAAAATATAAAACACATGATATCCAACAAATATATAATATAATAAAAAAAATATGTTTCGGTAAATTAATTATAATACATTTTTAAATAGAATTATTTCATAAAAAATATAAGACATTTTTTTACATTATAAAAGTACTGGAACGTAAAAATCCATAAAAACGTTAAAAAAATAATCGTTCAATAAAAAAAAGAACAACTAAAAAAAGTTTAAATTTTATAAAAAAAAAAAATTGGTTACTTTGTTCAACATATATATATACAAAAAACAAGAATAAAAATTATTTAGTCATTTTGAAAATTCATTGTTCTTAGTAATGTATCGCAATTTATTTGCTCAAGTCATACAATTGAACGTGATTTTGTTTGCAGATTAAGACGTTTAGCAATTACGATTAATCAGTTATTTTTTATAACCCGTTTTTTCAGATAGTGAATACTTACCTTTGTCCGATCTCTTACTATGATTTTCCAATATATAACGAACGTCAACTGCCATAGAAGACGATGACTTTTGATTGTATCTGGTGAAACCAATTTTTTTTGACATACTATAGTCAATAGATTTTTCTTCTTCATTTGATTTATTTATGCTACTTGATCTGATAAAGTAGCGTGTTGATTGTGGTGTATGTCTACATGCTTCGGGCTCAGTATCGTCGTTTCCTGTAGTCTCTTTTTCTGCAGAACTCATATACCATTGACAAGAAGCAGCCCAACTTGCTCTGTCCAACGTATTTATATTTTCAGGTAAAAAATACTTATCTCCAACCGATTTGTTCGTTGCGAAATTTTTAAAGTTAACGTTATTTGCTATATGTGAAATCATCTTTTTATTATAAATTGCCGATTCAATTTTTTTTGATAATCTTGTTACAGCAAATGAAGTAGAATCTTCTTTTGTTTCACTCATATTGTTCGTTTCGAAAAAGTAGCAAACGTCATATGCCATAGAATTTCAGATTAAGAATAATCATCTTTAACCGTTTCAATCGCACCATCATATTCCAGTGAATTTGCCATAGAGTTTTCAGATACAAAATAATCATCTTCAACCGATTGATACGTACTGTTCCGTTTACGTTTATTATGAAACTGTACCGTTTCTTAATAAATAAAAAACCTAAATTTATGAGACAGTGTTGACTTTTGATTATGGCTCGCCCGACCGACTTTTCTTGGTATACTTTTGCCATGAGATAAAGCAGAATCTTCTTCGTCAAATTAACTCATACTGCATGTATTCATAATATAACGACCGACAAGAGATTCGTTTCCACGAGCTTAAAGTTTAGTACCGCCATTTTCTGTAATTACCATTTCTACGAATACCATTAATACAAAACCGCTAAACTCACTCTGTTCAACATATTTAAAATATAATTTGTATTTAGATAAATAATGATCCTCTTCATTCGGTTTATTCAAAATGTGATTTTCTAATAAATACAGAACATTTATTTTCGTTTCTATTTTTAATAAGAGATGAAGTTAATTTTAGACTGTTATTCGCTAAACCGATTATTATTATTATTATTATTATTAATTTTAGTGTTATTATATTTAAACAGCGGTGACGCAATTAAATTATTCACTCTATTACAGTGTATAAATATTTTATTACATTTTAGGAATCGCACTATAAAATTTTAAAAATTGATATTGGAATATCAATATCATTATATATATATATATAGATAGATTTTTAATAACTCTAAGGTATGTAAATTATTTGTTTATCAAAAAATAAATAAATGTTTGAACTTTTTAGTCAAGACAGAAATATGTCAAAATTTATTTTCTCATTTTTAGTATTAAACTTAGTTTTTGTATTATAATAAAAGTGGATAAGTCGTATGNAATTTATTTTCTCATTTTTAGTATTAAACTTAGTTTTTGTATTATAATAAAAGTGGATAAGTCGTATGATTTAAAAGACAATGGTTTCGTAATAATGAAAAATATTTAAATCTTATAATAAAAATTCTGGTTGAGTTGGTAAGCTAACGCCATAATGATTATGTATTTAAAAACTGCAACTTCCTAATTTTAAAAGCAAATACTAAAGTTTTTTTATATTTTGTCTTTATAATTGCAAATATGTCTTTTAAGCGGATCTATCGCCTCTAGTTATATTTTAAATCATCTTTGTGGTTGAATATATACCTATTTTTTGTACATTTTTAAGAATTTTACATTGTTCCGGAAAAAAGTTTTAAATTACTTTTAGAAGTATAAAATGTTTTTCTCGAAAATTTAGATTTGATGCTAACATTGCCAGTGTGGTAAGTACAATGTATACTATAGTGTTCATTGTCATACAATTTTTGTCATGTTATTGATAATATCTATAATACATAAATTTGCTAAAAAAATTATTGATTTAATTTTATTACACAAAAAATTCACAACACTATTATTTTTTTAAAAATTATTTTCTCTTCATTAAATAATGAATCTTAAGTTAATAATATTTTTATTAAAAATAACTACTTCACATTTGTTTAAAATGATCTCCGGTTTATTTAATTTATGTACTTATATGTTTTCTTACTAGGTTACGAATAATTGAAGTTCTTTGTTTGCATTATTACAGTAAATATTTAATATCTTAATAATGCTTTTGTTTGATAAAGCAATCAACGATTACGATATCTATAAGGCATAAATATTTTTCTAGAAATGGTGGACATTTAAACATAAAAAGTTAAACATGCATTCATAAGACTACATAAAAGCAAATTTTTATTTAGATTTTATATATTTATTAAATCGAGTAAAACTAGGAATTAATATGGAAATATATCATAATATTAAAAATACACATTTGCATTTTTTAAGTGAAGGTTTTTATTAGTTCTTAGAGTATCATATACTAAGGATAGATACATAAACATCAAACAAATGTGAATATCGTTATCCTTTTACTCAAATCTGTAATACATCATAGACTTAGGTGAAACCTTTTAAAATAATTCATTCAATCGGAAAAACTAAGTAAAAATATTTTAAAAAGTACACGTGTTATCAAACTCCACACACACAATATTGATAAAACGAAAAGAAAACATATTTTTGCTATTTTTTTTTTAAGGTCAACAATTTATTTTCAAACGTATTTTGTTGTGAAGTAAAAAAATATACACTTCACCGTATGATAGCATTGTACACGTATTATTCTATTATAGTGAACTTGTTTAGGTATCTTAGGTTTTGTTATTTGTTTATAGATAAAATGGATAAAAAATATTTTACAATCAAAGTTATATGAAATGTATACATAAAAAAAATATGTATTACATTCTCAATGTTTAGAATTACTTGTAATAATTTTAATTTTACAAATTAAATTTTGACATTTTTGTTGAAAATATAACTTATTTGTTTCCAATTTTAGTTTCTTTTACTTATCTTTACTGTTTTTAATGCCTTTTTCTGGTGTTAAGTTTGCCTTAATGTAAACAATGATTATTTAATTATTAATATACCATAATTAGCTCTTAAAATTGAATTGAAACTAAAATCAAATTGTAAAACTATTATGTGAATATATATATAACTTTCTTCCTCAAAAAATGCTATTTAAATTTTATTTTTTATTTTTGTAAATTCAACATCGTAAAATAATTACAACTTTCAGCTCCGATGCAAATCTAAGAAAGTATTACAAGATTGTGAACTTTAAATTTCCAAGTGGCAACACACATAACAAGCTTGTTAATTAACAAGCTTATTCAATAGAATGATCTAGTTAAGAAAATTACTGGCCGATTACTACTTTTAGACCAGTATTTTGTAAGATGTTCTCATTTCTATAACTAGGTGGGATGAAAAGTACGGTTGGTAAATGACTAGCGATAAAACAAGCAACACCCACTCTTCACCTTCATTCAATACTTTAAATTGTTAAAAACTACTGGAATAGTAGTCTAAAAGTAATTTTCTGAATTATATAATTATCTAATAAATAAGCTAGTTAATTATGCGTGTTAACATTTAAAAAATTTAAGTTGACACCCTTATAATGTACGAAAAATAACGATAAAAAATAATTTATGATTGATTAATTGATAGTAACATTCAACTAAAAGAAACCAATAAAATAATTATCAATATTATTCTATTTTTCGATTTAGTGTATAAGTTCAAAATAAATGTTCCCCATTCAACTTTCTCTTAAAAAAAAATGTTTAAAAAGATTTAAGTATTAGTTATAAACATTTTCAGAAAAAATTTTAGCATCTTTTAATGTCAATCCAATAAGTACGTATTGTATGTTATTGGGAAAGAAAAAAAAATCCTATCTACTAATGGCTTATGATTATTTACAGTTTCAATTGCATGACTGGAATAACAATTAAAATAATGAAGGTTAGAATAATTAAATAAAGAAAGTTACCTTACTTTTCTTTTTGATAAATCGATACTTACAATTTTGATACACTTTTATGATAGAGATTACGAATTATATAACTACTTTATATTTTTTTATAATTTGCCCGCAATAATTTTAATACTAAATTATTGAATATCAATTCTATACTAAATTTAATGATTATAATAAATATTTGTTCATGTAATATACTTATAAATTAGTATAAAACTTGTAATCAGGATATAATTAGGAAAATAGGAATTGATGTTGTATTTGAAAAAATCTAACAATTATAAATATCATTTATACTTGTCCCAACTATGTTCTGAACAAATTAAGTAAGTCTACAATGATTAACTTTATACTTTGCGTTCTCTTTGGAATTTTAAATAAACAGAGGATAATATTGACTTATGAATTAGGCTAAATTGACTTCTATGTATATTATATATCGTATTTACATATTAAAATGGTAAATGTTCATTTGCATTTTAAACGTTGAAAGTATATCTCTTTAGGTGCAATTCTCAACTACAATCCAGTTACTAGTTACTTATAAAGTAAACTGTGTAAACAACTTATTTTTCCTAACCAAAATAGTAAAATGATTCGTGAAGTAATGTTTAATTTAAAAATAAGGATAATTATAAATCATAACATATTTTAATTCAAATTGTTCAGATTCCCGAATCACAAAAAATTATTTAATAATATCAATAAAATAAATAAGGTTTACTATTAAGGAAAAACTTGGTATAAAAATAAATTTACCTACAACCTCTTTTTATTTAAACCTTTTCTTAGGTAATATTGTTGATAAGATCACAAAGTAAGTAAAACCTATCAGATTATAATACGATATCATAAATGGTTATGGTAAAAATGCTTTACAACCAACCTATATGTTATATGAACATTATTTTATCAGTTACCGGAATTGTAGTTTATGTATTTACTTGTATACTGTAACAAATTATTGATTATGATATAATCAATTTTTGTAAAATTATTAATATTACTGATTGCTTAACATTCATACATTGCTGATGTAATATTTTTCTTATTAATTATTCTATTGTTTATTGTTACTAATTTTAATCAATAATTAAATTATTATGTTACGAAAATCAAATTTATAGAATGGGTCTTATTTATGTGAAAAACTATTTCGTAAAAAAATGTGTATTTGTTTTTCTATTTAATAATATATTTTTATGTTAAGTAAATTATTAATTTAGAATACTGAGTAAAAGCCGATTTTCGAGTGAATCATACTATTGCCACCGACCTTAAAAAATATTAAACTTAACAGTCATAATTTTAATTTATCACATTCAATAGCATTGGAAAAATTTAATTTGTCAATTTTTGAAAGAAGTATATAATTAGGATGAAAATTTCCATCTATATAACAGAATAATTTAGAATATTCAATTAGAAACATTTTACTTAGTTTAAACTATTGAAATAGATTAGAGTTTTAATGAAACATTTGGTTGAGATGAACCAAAAAAATAAAAAGAATATTTTTGAAACATAAATTCAAACATTAAAAATCCTAGGACAGAAGCATAGTTTAAACATTTATAGATGATATCTCATTATTAATATTATTACAGTGATTTGAGGGCTTTTTATAATATAAAAAAAAAAAGGTTTATATTTTTTACAATAATAATTTGTAATTTAAATATTTCTGTTTTTTTAAATTTCTATCAAATATTATATGCCTAATTGTGTTTAATATTGTGGTAAACTTTAAAATCTTTCATTAGATTTCCAGAAAAACCATACCAAAAGAAAGCTTATTGTATTTAATATAATTTACTAAAATTTGATTAGAATCCGTGTTTTTAAAATTAGGATACATTAGTTTTATATGCAGAAATTTATTTATAGTTGCGTATATTTGAAATATTTTCATACATTTTTAAATTTGAGTGTTTTTTTTTTTAATTTTGGCGCTGGTTGGTTTAATTATTTTAAAATTGGGTTGTTTTAGCATAATAATCATGAAAATTGGTCCAATGAGATCCGAAAAATTTTATTGACAGATATGAAAAGAAAATATAAATCATTACAATATCTTCTCAGATTCGCATCGAAGCAAAAAGTATTAAATTTCAAAGAAAATTTGTAGTTACAGTTTATATTTTACCTTTCACAGCGCCAGTTGTAATATAATACATTAACTTAATATCAATGCAAAATCAATTATTTGAGTTTTACAACAAAAACGAATAGGATTTTCATATTCTACTAAGTAAATATTTATATATTAACGTTGACCTCAATATTCTTAATTTAAAATTTTCAATATCAACGAGTTTAAACAGTTTGTAACGCGATTTCTGATTATATGAGATTTGAAAACATAATCAAAACACACACAATCACAAAACCAATACCTTCTCAGTTTCGCATCGAAAATGATGATTTCTCGCAATTAAAATTGAATAGTATGGTTGATCAAGTTTGACTTCTAGAAAAAAATAAAGTATTGCAACTAATGTAGAAATATCAAAGAGATGTAATAGCAGTACAATGTTCTTTTTATATTTTTGTAAATATGTTATTAGACTATTTTTTTTTTATTAAATTTTATACTTACAATAATTTACATAATTGACTATAAGAAAAAATAAAAAACCAATAGGTTGTAACAATTTTTCAGCTACATAAAATAAAATATATATGTTTTTTAACTGACTTTCGAAATAAATGGAAACTAATATTTGAGAAGACCAAAGATTTATCAGGTGTTTTTTAAATCGTAGCAAAACGTTCTCTAGTTAAATCAATGCGTTGGAGCGGCCAGAAATTTAGTCGGCTCATTTTTGCTATGAAATACGGTACAAATGTGTTCAATAACATTCATTAATGCACTATACTTATAATTAACTAATTGGTATCGCACATAAAATCGTAATTTCTTTTTATTACAGAAATAGCTTGCGAACGCGCAAACACAGTGTGTGCAATGAACCGGATTTGTCACGGCGCAATTCCAATGCTATTTTTTCTGCACTACTGTTCCGCGAAGAAAGCAGAGCTATGAAAACGTCCATGATGGTGTTGGCCACTTATCTGTTCAGCTGGACGCCACTGTTTTTAAGCGTTTCCGTTGTCCGAGTACCGGACGAACTAGTGCAAACGTGTGCGTTGTCCGCAGCTACCCTCAACCCGTTGGTGTACGTGTTTCGCAACGACGTGTTCCGCAAGGAGATCCTTCGAATGATTTGTAGCCGCAAAAAATTACGTGCTTCCGCAGCCGCCAAGATGGGCAAGTACCATCAGCAAACTCGATTGGTGGCCAATCAAACGGACAGTGTATCTGTTCATAGCTTTCACATGACGTCTATCGACTGCCAACATTCGTTCGATTCTGTAACACCACCGGCAGCAGCCGATTTCATCGCTACTTACAATCCGGTAAGTACCTTGTGGATAACACAAGTACATGTTGTGTAATATTGTGATCGATCAAAGTGGCGCAATTTTTGAGTTTTTGATTTTAAAATGAATACATGTGTTAATTTTAAAAGCTACTTATAACGACGTACTTGTCAAAATTCTGAGAAAAATACTTCTCTGTTCATTGCGCCATAACTGCAAAGAAAACATACTAACGTCCATTACACTCCTGCGACGTAAAGAATAATAATGATAATGAAAATAAAAGAATTCTGTAATTTTTAATAGTTAAAAAATAATTGAAATAGCTACGCGTTACTAAATTGCAATATCATGTCTAGTCTACGAGTACAACGAAGAAAAATTATTTTCCATAGAAATGAATCAACAGACATACTTAGGAAATAATATTGATTAAAATAGTGGCAGCAAATGTTTTAGTACATTTTTTCTGATTTGGATTAAAAAATAAAGTTCAACCAATTAAATATAAAAAGTTTTGTGTATTCATTTCATTCATTATTCGTGCTGAAATAACTTGTTAGTTTCAGAACTGTATTAATTTCATACGATTTTACATTATGCAAGTTTTGTAAAACAAATTATGTGAATGTATCAACTTTTGAATGTAAATTAAATGTATATTCAAAAGATATTGTGTCATCGATCGTACTTTTGAACTGATATGGGTTCCTACTTGTTTGTAAAACAATGAAAATTACCGATTGTCAACTACCATAAATATTAAAACACAACAGTAAAAATAAAACAAGACGACTACACCAAAATGTAATTTCATTTCATATAGGCAAATCACGTGTTTTTATAGTATTGTAAATATTCCTTAAGTTGGCTTTTCATATTTTTTATACAAGTCGTATATTATAAAATTACCTTACTTATGTTTATTATTTAAATGTGTAAGAGTTATCATTAAAATGGGCAGTTAAAAAATACATGTGTTTCTTAAAAAAAGTAAAGTTAATATTAATTTGACAGAGTGTCAGCGGTAGGTGGAAAAAGTCTCGTAGTCATGACCATAATGCACACATTAATCTACTAAAATATAGCTATTTCAAGGAAATTTGAATAAAAAATATATAAAACAGTAAAATAACTACTCTCTCTCTCTCTGTGTGCACAGTAGTCCAAAACACAATTTTAGCTGAAAAAAAATCAATTTTAATTAAGTTCAAATAAACGCAAAAACTTTTTTATATAGCCTATACTACCCAAAAATAATAAAATATATATTTTTTTTATAATTGTATGAATTTTAAAGCTAGACACATACAAAACGAAGGTATAATATTATCACATTACGGACATTTTTTAGAACATTTTTCAAAATAAACGTACTGTAACGAATATATATAAATATATAGAAGTAGTTTTTTTCACCTTATAAAACAATACATTATTAATTATTTACGTATTTTTTAAAAACATATTTTTTCAAAAACAATTGTAGACATTTGACAGTTATTTTTCATTACATAATAGTAAAATAGAAACATTTTATAGTACTCTTTTTTTTTTCTTTTTTTTTTTTTATCGACTTTTACAACGACCTTCAACACATATATAATACGTAAAAGATTACCTAAAATTGATAAAACGCCGTTATGATTCTCCCTAAGAAAATAAATATGTTGAAAAAATAATGTCAAATTTGAATTCTGCGACCTCAAACGCATATTAGTTTTCCTACTGAGTTGTAGAAATTCTGATCCATATTAATTTTGTCCAGCTAAAATAAAAATGTTTCAATGATTCGTCGTTGTCTCGATCAATGCCGACACATTTAAAATAATTAATTTTATAGTATTTTATAGGCTGATTCGTTAAATGAATGTCGGAGAGTGCCAAAATAATATATTGATCGTGTTACTGTGAAGTTTAAAAGTAATCTATACAGCTCGATTAACTTACGATTGAACACATAGAACTATTTTTGTAGAAAAAATGAATCGAACGCAATTTTATTCATTGCTGTTTTAATATAAATTGTATTTATCGTATCGACGATAATGTATTCTTCACTTTTTTATTCATAAGTTATTATCTGGAAACTCTATACTATACAACACACACAGTAATGGCTCTAACTTCCAGAGGTTTCTCGCTGGCCCTACACCAATTTCCTCGGGTACGGTTGTAAAACACACCGGAACGAACAAACCACTAGAGTTTAATCTGCAAAAACATGTATTATGCAACGGCCAACGTGCCATAGGAATGCATTGTGACGGCAAACTAGCTATGATGTTGTTATTACTCGTATTGAACACGTGCCGTTAAAAGTCGAGATTCGGTCGAATTCCCTGCGGAAACGCTCCACGAACCTCATAAGATCAATTTAATTCGAGTAGCTATACTTCAACCATATTTGGTCCTGAGATAACATAAACAGACAAGGTATCATAACATAACAGAGTCTTTTAGGAAGCGTAGAAACTTCCAAAGATATAAACAAACCGTCTTAAGTAAACGTAAACAGATAGTAAAAAAAAAACACTCGGCGGTTTTATTTTCCCAAAACATTTGATCGATTGGTGTTTAAAACTAATATTTAACCGTTTTATTTGTTTACTTTGCAATTTAGATGAATGGATCGGAACGGTGCAATCGTTACGAGAGTGTCACTTTCCGTCTGGCCCAGAGACGGTGTCAATACTGCAGCAGACAGAGTTCTGATTCTTCTTTAAGCAGTAATTATCCATTATTAATGGGAAAAAATAAACCTTCCAGCGAACCCAACACGCCTAAACACAACAACAACGACAACCGTATCGTAATGTTTAAGGTACCGTATAGAACAAATGAAATATTTAATTGAAAAACGACGTTTGCTACCGAGTCAAAATTACTCGTTGAATTATTTTTCAACGGTATTCTCTAGTTTGAAATCTCCACGGTCGGTTAATATGATTATGTATTTAGTATTTACAATAAGTTTATTTGTTCTACAAACAGCCGAAATAAAATTAAAAAACCGTCGGTTTATTTTTATTTTGTTATTGTTCAGATAAATTTAAGTATTTATTTAGTATAATCATAAACAAATGTAAGCTTTTTAACGGAGATATAATAAATTTTAATTAATTCTAAAGAAAAGTAATAAACATATTTAAAAATTCACAATTATTCAATTGTGAATTTCATTATAAACATTAAATTTAAACACATCTCTTGATATGGAAAAAAATCAACATAATTCACCGTATTATTTGCTAAAATTATAACCCGTGGAAAATAAGATACTATAATTTGTGGTACAAATAGGAACATGAAATAATTTTAGCTCTTTTCAATTCAATTGCCTAATATAAAATCCAACCATTGAAAGTAACTTGGAACTATTTACATAACCATCAAGTAAATCATATAAAAATAACATATCACTAACTATTCTTCTTAAGTCGCAAAAAGTATACCTTGTTGTTGAGTAGCATTTAAATAATATGAATCACTAGTTAGACTCATATTTAATTTAAATAAATATTTGTATTGTACATTTTTTATTATGTTTATTAAAACAGAATAATAAGAGGATTAATTTAACAATCCAAACTCAAGCTTTGTCCTAATAAGAAAAGAATATAACAATTTCAATGTATTTATATTTTTAAATTCTTTAATATTTCTATTGAGAAACCCTGACATCTTAGATATGACACAGAGATGAAAATAGTAATTAAAACTTGAAGATATTTAATTACTAATAGCTTAACAAATATTATTTCTCTTAAAGTCGTTCTTATGAGTTAAGAAATCTATTAAAAACTTTTTAAAAGACTCACTAAGCATAAGATATATTTTTCCAAAAATTATATTAATAATTGAATTTGTTTGTAAAAAATTAATTATTTGATTCAATTCAACTCTACAGTTTCACATATTTTTAAAATTCTTCTACCTCTAAAGTTAAAAAAACAAAATGTATTTTTATCGAATTAAACCTAATTTTTTGAACTTTATAAATGTACAGATTATTATTTTTAATTGGTTCCATGATATCATTTTCATTTGATAAAGCTTTACTTTTGTATTATTTTGAATTTTATGATAAATTATTCTACTTCTAAATCAATTAATAAATAAGTAAATGTATTTAAGTTTGACAAATTCATTGACTTTAGTACAAGTTCTAAGGACAAACTAAAAACGACTATAATGATTACAGCTAACAATAATTACGATAAGTACATTTTCTTAATACTGAACAGTAGCTTAATTTACATTTATCATAATAAAACAAAGTTTTTATACGCTATAAAGATCAATAAAAATAAATAAATTATTATTTATGGGTTAAGATGAGATAAATGTTATAGTGTATTAATTCTACCCCTATTAATATACACGCAGTAATGGTTTATTTTTTTCAATAATCTGAATTATAAACAGACTATAATTCATAATATTTATTTGACACATATGGGCAATGGTGTATCTCCTAGTTTAAACAATGAAATAACAACAAAAATTCCAAACTTATATATAGGGTATAACAATTTTTTAGATAAAAAAACGATAGCACAGTGTGAACATGGAACAAGTATAGATGATATCTGACAGTGATTAAGATTACTATCATAAGAAACGATTCTATGCTAATCTGTAGATAGTGTTTAATTTTAAAAAATTGATGGATTATTGAAAAAACAAAATGAACTCTTGTTTCCTTATTTATAACCTATTTACAAGTTTTATGATTTATAAGTGTAATATAAAAATAAATATTTACTATAGCAATTAATTATAATATGAAACCGATTTTTAATAATTTGGTATAGTAATTTTAATATAATATAAAGAATTATTTAAAAACCAAGAGTTGCATAGAAATGTACGCTAAGATTTCTATTTGAATAATTTATAACAATAAAACATTTTTAACGATATTTTGAGTTTTCCTCATTAGTTTACACTGTTAACAGTAATTATATTATATTAAGTTTCTGATCACATATCAATCCAAAACAGAATATTTTATTTCTCATAAATTTTTCTACTTAATGATATAAATTCTAACCTTGCAAGTTGATCTAAAATTATATTTAAAAGTTCAACATTTTGAAATTATAAATTTTCATAAAAATCAACTTTAAAGAATCAAAAAAATAAGTTAATATTGTTATTTTTAATTAAAATTTTGCACGGATTATTATTTTTAACATTTTAAAATATATAATATTTTAGTTTACTGTAGAATTTACGTTTATAAAAACGAATTTTATATTCCCATTAAATTGGAGATATTTATGTTAAAAGTTTTTTTGAAGTGGCTATTTTTTGCAGTAGCGTAACTTTGAGATACACTTCTGAATTTCTAAAATAACATTTTTTTTTCCAATATTTGGTGTTGATAATATAACATGATTAAAATCGTGTTCTTTTGACGTAATGGTCATTAAAATTGGTCAAGCGAGATCTAAGCAAAATTAATGTCAAACATAAAAAAAAAAACTATATAGTAAAATATTTTAATATGAATAAGAAATTTACATGAATCAAGAAATGATAATTTAAACTAGTTCAAAAATTCAAGCTTTTCTTAACTTTGAGGAGGTAAATTAATCAAAATAAGTATAAATTTATATTTAATGTAAGTTAGATTCATGTAAATTTTATAAAAATTGGTGGACTCATTACTATGGCAAGTTCGTTTAAGGTATTTTAAAATAAACAAAAATTCTAAAATAAAATTTGAAAACACAAAAATACCATATTTTTTAACTATGGCAACCATTTTCATATAAAAAATAGGTCGTCGGAACAAAATTTTTTTTAAATTTATAGTATGTAATATAAGCTTTAATATAACGTAAATGTGTAATGGATGCAGTATTTCCTAACATTTTCAAAAATTAAGATGAGTTTTGTAAAAAGTTGCTATAATGAATCTTCCCCTATTGGCAGGTAAATGGTCAGATTTTCAAAAAAAATTATCAAATAAAAGGGAAATACCTAAAATTTTAATGTAAAAAAAATCATTTTAATTCCTTCATTTTTCAATAAGTTATGACAATTAAAAAAAAGGTAAAAAAATGTCGAATTTAATGATTTTAAAAGTCGTAATTTTTTGGGGGATTTTTCGCTATTTACGAGGAACGAAGGAAAAATATTTTTCATTTTTGAGGATAATGTCTTCAACTAGATACGACTTGTGATCTTTTGATGCATCGTTGAGAAAAATCGTTCCATTGAGAGCTGAGAAAAAATAGTGACGGACACAAAAAATAAGTAGACACATCATGGTAAAATTAATACCGTCCCAGTTTTGCATCGCAGTTAAAAGATACCTTTTCCTCTGTTTGACAATGAATTAACATTTGTATGATACTTAATAGTACAAGCTCAGAATAATTTTTTCTAAATAGAAAGAAACTATTTCTAAAGATATTTCAAATTTTATTACATAACATTATAATAGATTTTTGTTGAATAATTTACTATTATTAATGAAAACAGCATATTGCTCTAATTTTTGTTTACATAAGCATAGATAATGTCTTTAACTAGAAACGATTTGTGATCTTTTGACGTATCGTTGAAAAAAATCGTCCAGTGAGAGCTGAGAAAAAGTGACTGACACAAAAGAAAATAATAATAAAAACATCCTGGTAAAATTAACACTTGCTCACTTTCGCTTCGAAGCTCAAAAATTTCATAGAGTGTTATAAAAATATAGGTTTTGATTTTTAAGATATTTTTCTGTGTTATTTTGGCAGCAAGGGCTAGAAAAAATAATTTAACTAATAATTACTAAATTAATATGTCATAATTTTTAATTAAAAAAAAAAAATTTGATTATTCTGCAATCATTATATAACTTATGACTATTAAAAACATAAATTAAGGCCTATATGAAATAATTGTGCTTAATTCATTTGTTACGAAAAATAAGGCCAATGATTTTTTTTTGCTTACGAACTAAATTACCATGAAACTAGAGTTTTCCCAATAGTCCTATATAGTAATGCAAAATTATGGCAAAACAACGTTAACGGAGCCTTAGAGAATACAAAAAAATGTTCACTAGCATAAGTCAGACTAAATTATACTTTTTCAACACAAATTAAGCTTCAAAAGTAGTACCTTTAGTGGCCAGGTACTACCTGCGAAATTTGAAAAATTTAAGCATTTAACTTGCGTTCAATTTATATACAACTAAAATAAAATAAAATAAAAAATGAGCATGGGTGCTTACATTTCTTTTTGAAAACCATTTTATATAACTTATTAATTTTTTTGAGGTGGGTGAGTAAGGGACATTTCATGTCCAAATAATCTAAACATGCCTATGTTATAAAATTTTAATGCAATTAGTACAAATCATCTAGTCTTTATATAGTCGCAATATTACCTAAGCGTATTTCAATGAACCAAACAAAAATGGTCAAACTGAATTACAAATATTGTTTATTTCATCAAAAAAATGATTAAAATCGTGTGTATTTAAAATTAAGTTTATATTTATAACAATTAAACAATTTATTAATGATATCACGTTTACAAATCTCTTTTTATCAGAAATCGCGTTACAAGCCAATTAAACTCATTGGTACTGAAAATTTTAAATTAAGAATATTGAGGTCAACGTTCATACATAAATATTTACTTAGTAAAATATGAAAATCCTGTTCGTTTTTGTTGTAAAACTCAAGTGATTGATTTTGCAATGATATTAAGTTAATATATTATATTACAACTGGCGCCGTGAAAGGTAAAATATAAACTTTAACTATAAATTTTCTTTTGAAATTGAATACTTTTAACTTCGATGCGAACCTGAGAAGGTATTGTAATGATTTATGTTTTTTTATGTCTGTCCATAAAATTTCTTAAATCTCACTGGACCGATTTTCATGATTAATATGCTAAAAGAACCCAATTTTAAAATAGTTAAATCTGCCAGCTCCAAAAATTAAAAAAAAAACCCTCAATTTTTAGAAATTTAAGAAAATATTTCAAATTTAAAAATGCTGTTAAGAAAAAATATGTTCTGCATATAAAACTAATGTAATCTAATTTTAAAAACACCGATTATAATGAAATTTTAGTAAAATATACTGGATACTGTAAACTTTTTTATATTTGAAAAATTTATGAGAACCTAAGTACAAAAAGAATTTTAACAAAATCGCACAATTTTTTTTCCACTCAATTTTCTGTCTACATTTTACATCTTCTTACATCTATCAAATTAAAGCTTTTAAAGTTTATTTAAATATTAAAAATATATAAATAATTTATTTTTTGAGTAAAGTTTAAAAAAAACATAGAAATTTTTAAATTACAAATAAAACATTTTTGTGAAATTTAACAGACAGCGCTAAAATCACTTTAGTAATGTTAATAATTATGAAACATCGCCTATACTTGTTCAAACTATGCAACGACATCACTGTGCTAATGTTATTAATTAAAACTAAATCTACATAATTTTTAACTTTGACAAAGCAATGTGCATTTCATACGATGTTTATGCTAACATAAAAGTAATTTTTTTAAGCTATTATTAAAAACGTACAAAAATTTTGTTAGTGATATTGATTTTAAAAAGTTTAAAGTTAAATGTTTCTCCTTTAACTTTAAAAATTGTACACTCTTGATAACACAATAGAACAACAATAAATTATATTTAGTTACTAAGATTCAATCTATTCAATTCCATTGAAATGTTGTTTCTTTGAACACTTTTCATTAGATGAAGCAAAGTAGTATTTATTGAAAATTAATGAGAGGATTACTTGTGCAAGTGCTTAGTAAAATGAACAACATAATAAATATATGTGTTTTGAAGTTTCCTGACTTATAGATATTTCAAAAATAATTTTGTAGTAATGAATATTATTATAATTTTTATAATAATTTTACAACTTAGTAAATGAATTCATTATAATGATTTATCAATTACAATAAAATAATGGAGTAAGTTTAATTCAATAATAATTATTATTATCGTTATAAAATAATTGAATTATTCGATTATTTTAGATTCATAACAAACACGAAAGTTAAATTTTATGAAAGAAAAATCAAATGAACGGCTGGATAAAGGGTTTGGCGGCCTATAAACTGTAATACATTTTTAAGGGGGCATAGCCCTTTATAATATTAACCCCTAAAATATTGGAGTTGATACTGTGTTCAGATTAAAATAGTTAATAAATAAAAGAATGTTGACTTATTTAAGTGGTAATTTATTTTGTCTATAAATATTTTAAATATTTTTTGTGGCTATGATAAAAATTGTAATGTCACATTTAATATTAACATGAATTATACATTTTTATTTTGTAGGTTGCCGAAGTGGAGATTAAAAGACACAAATTACAAAGAATGTTAGCTATAGATAATGAAATCCCATCAACCAGGGTGTAGATACTAACGTTATATGTATTAAAAAATCGTCAATATTGGCGGAATTTTAATTTTATAAAAAATTTGTAATCAGCTTGGAAAAAAATTTAAGTATTCTTAGCATTTAGTTTATGAAAATTATATTTTTATTGTTCGAGAAAAGATATTTTCCCAATTATTTATATTAATTAATTAGTAGTCGTAAAAGTATTATGTAACCTAAAAATGAATTAATTTTTTAACGGCAAAAAAATTAAATGGAATATGTTTTAGTGTATTTATTTGAATACTACTTATGTTAACATTTAAAAGTATAAAAATAGTTTATTATTGTATTATTTCTTTAAAATTTACATCATTGTAAGTGACATAGCTGATTGGTATTTGAAGATTTGAAAATAATAAGACCTAACGTGCATAATTTTATCTATTTACTCTATAGTATCGTAAGCCGATAAATGCTTGACTTATATCAAATTTATTAGTAATATACATAACCAATTCAATCAGAGCGATTGGTTGGGTTTCTCAGAAAAAATTTTAAATATATTTTTCCTTTTATGTTTTTAAATTTTTATAATTTGTATATTTCTTACATTAACTGTATAAAATGTATACGTAAAATTTATAAAATTATCACAAATAATTTGTAATAGCCTTTATTAGATATTTAGGGTATTATCTTATGTATTATTGTATATAATATACAGAGGAGTAAGAAAACCGGTAAACTGTTCTCATTGTTCGTAACATTTAACATGTTCCTTACTTTATGAATACTCAGTATATCAGTAAAATGTTGTATTTCTTAACAATATTTGAAAATATTTTACTAGTACTATAGGTTAATACGTTTAAAACAATAATAGATATTTAACTACCCCAAGTTGGCCCATTTGTTGGTATATAGTGTTCAAAAAGTAAAGAAACATTTAATTGTAACAACAAGAATAATGGAACCCCTTTTCTTTACTTATTGAGCACTTGTGTACAATATTTCCTCAGAATAATTTTTTTAAAAATTTTTCTGACCTTTGAAAAAGTTTTATTTTTTCAGTTTTAATTCACATTATTTATATTCAGTTATTCACAAAAATGTGACTGTCAAAACTTAATTTAAAAATGTTATCAAATTTACTAACTCAATTAAATGGAGTATTGATTTGAATATTTGATTCAATAGTTTAATTCGAATTCAAAAATTTTAATTCCATACATCTTTTAATATTATGAATAAGCATGTGAAATATAGATACATATGGCACTTGGGTATAAAAAGACCTATCTATAAAAACAAATAAAAAATCATTAAGCCCTTAAAAACAAAGAAATAATATTAAGTTATGTAATAATTAATTATAATAAAAAGACATGAATATAAATAATTTTTTTTCTAAACTTAACTAAATCTTGTATTTAATTATTAATCATTCATGATTGTATAAATATAAAATTAGAGTTATGTTACTAATATGTTTAAGAATACTTAACTATAATTTACATTGGTGCGTTAAATAAATTTAAAGAAATTATATTTTGCAATAGTAGATAATTCTTATAATTATAATTTGTAGGATTTCATTTAAAGAATTTCCTAATAGAACTATAAAATTAAAAATGCATGTTACCATTGTTAAATAATATTTTACTTAGTTATAATTTTTTAATTTGTTTTACAAACAAATGACATGTAAAATGATATCTATTAACTTATTGGGAGATTTAAATAAACTACCAATGAGCTAACTTGCGTTACATTAAAAAAAAATTCTGAAAAACCAATTTTATAATATTTATCATTTAAATAATTGTATGCCTATGTTTAGATATTATTTTGAAATACAAAAAAAAACAATGTTACCATCATAAGAAAAATATTTTTATTATGATTAATGATTGTAAATATTTAATATAAAAAATGTTTACCATTTTTATTTCAATAGTATTTTTGTTTATTTTCATAGAAGAGTATGTATTTATATGTTAAATAAACTTCTTTGTTTTTATAAATTAGAATTTCTAATTTAACTTGCATTTGATCACTGATCAGATATAGAATGTCTTTTAAGGTAGAGTAAGTTAGATTTGATTAGTATTATAATCTAATTTTGAAATTCAACTCTCTTTGTTAAGGTTTTAAAAGAATATTTTTAAATAAAATGTTGTGTATCATACAATATACAGTATGATCACAGACAAATTAAATGTGCTATACTTAAAATAAATTGATAAACTTAATTTATATCTAAAACAATAATTGTATAACAAGTTTACTTCTATTTCAATCTAATATTACCATTACTTTTAAAAAATTACATTTACTAATTGACAAACAATAGTAGAGAAAAAATTAATTAAACTATCAATTCAACCTATTCTATGAAATTATTAATATTAAATGAGATTTTTCTATGCTTATGTAAACAAAAATTAGAGCATATTGCTGTTTTCATTAATAATAGTAAATTATTCAACAAAAATCTATTATAATGTTATGTAATAATTCAAATTTTATTACATATCTTTAGAAATAGTTTCTTTCTATTTAGAAAAAATTATTCTGAGCTTGTACTATTAAGTATCATACAAATGTTAATTCATTGTCAAACAGAGGAAAAGGTATCTTTTAACTGCGATGCAAAACTGGGACGGTATTAATTTTACCATGATGTGTCTACTTATTTTTTGTGTCCGTCACTATTTTTTCTCAGCTCTCAATGGAACGATTTTTCTCAACGATGCATCAAAAGATCACAAGTCGTATCTAGTTGAAGACATTATCCTCAAAAATGAAAAATATTTTTCCTTCGTTCCTCGTAAATAGCGAAAAATCCCCCAAAAAATTACGACTTTTAAAATCATTAAATTCGACATTTTTTTACCTTTTTTTTAATTGTCATAACTTATTGAAAAATGAAGGAATTAAAATGATTTTTTTTACATTAAAATTTTAGGTATTTCCCTTTTATTTGATAATTTTTTTTGAAAATCTGACCATTTACCTGCCAATAGGGGAAGATTCATTATAGCAACTTTTTACAAAACTCATCTTAATTTTTGAAAATGTTAGGAAATACTGCATCCATTACACATTTACGTTATATTAAAGCTTATATTACGTACTATAAATTAAAAAAAAAATTTGTTCCGACGTCCTATTTTTTATATGAAAATGGTTGCCATAGTTAAAAAAACGGTAGTACAGTGGGGTCGAGGCACAGTGTAGATAAGGCATAGATGGGACAACTATATAGATGATATTTGACAGTGATTAAAATCACTATCATAAGAAACGCTTCGATGCAAATCTGTAGATAGTGTTTCATTTAGAGATTATTCCAAAAACAACATCAACTCTTATTTCTTTGATTATATCCTAATTAGTAATTCATTGATTTTGAAATATAATATATGAATAAATACTAATTATAATTATTAAATTTAGTATGAAAATAAAATAGTATTTACATATAAAATAAGTTGAAAAAGTTATTTTTTGTAAAAAAGTTACTATTTTAAATTCCCCCAGTGAGNCCCCCTATATAAGGGGAAATTGTCCAATTTTAATAAAAAGTATGTCAAATGAAAGATGTACTTATAATGTATTTAGAAAAAAAAATTTCCCCCAATAAGCAGGTTAAGTGATAGATTTTCAAAAAAATGATATTAAATGAAAGGGAAATATCTAAAGTTTTAGTATAAAAAAAAATTATGTAGATTTGTTAATTTTTAAAAAAGTTATGGAAATTTTAAGAAAAAAAAAATTGAAAAAATTTCGAAAATTAGCGATTTTTAAATTTGTAATTTTTTTGGATATTTCCCCCATTTGCGGGGAACGAGGGAATTTTTTTCAATTTTTAAGGGTAATGTCTTCAACTAAATACGATTTGTGATCTTTTGACGTATCGTTGAAAGAAATCCGTTCGGTGAGAGCTGAGAAAAAGTGGTAACAGACACAAAAAAAAAAAAAAAAAGAAAAAAAAAAAAAAAAAAAAAAAAAAAAACACGTAGTAAAATTAATACCTTTTGCGCTTCGCATGGAAGCTAAAAAATTTAATTAGTCTAATTTCTCATGTCTTATGAACTTTATTCAATGTCAATTAAATTATATAATATTCATGAAAGTCAATATATTCTCCTAATAAGATATTTTAAAATAAAATAAAATACAAAACCTAGAATTTTAATAGAAAAATAGCATATTTTTAAATACGGTAGCCATTTGCGCATAGAAGATTTCCCTCATTTGCGGGGAACGAGAGAAAATTTTTCAATTATTAAGGGTAATGAAATTTTATAAAGTTAGAAATTTTATAAAAAGACACGTATTCTAGGTGCATTATCTCTGTTGGGGGACCTAATTTCAAACATTTTAGCTTCGATGCGAAGCGGAGAAGGTATTAATTTTACTATGATGTGTTTTTTTTTTTTTTTT